GCTTGCGAACATTAATTTTTGCAGTCGTGAAAACTCTGAAATATTCGAACAATCCAAACAACCGCACAGGTGTGTAATTGGCGTAAAAATAACGATGTAACCGAAACCCAGTGCAATTAATTTAATTAATATTTTTACACTATATTTAACGAGATTATATTCATTAAGTGTTGCGGTTTAACAAACACGAATTTTACACAAACCATTTGAATACGTTACAATATATTCAGTAGACGAACATATATATCGCCTGTCAATATAGAACAAAAAGACCAAACGAATAGTATTTAAAATTCGTCCATAGTCCTTTTTTATGTTTTCATATATAAACTGTCTGTAAATATAAGAACTGTCTTTCTTCATAGTTTGGTGTGCTTTAAGCTGTGCCCTTTTTGGTGTTCGATTCGTTTCCCACAAGAATCACATCAATTTGAGGCTTGACAAGATATAGGTGGTTGAAGGGTTATTTTATTAATCTACTGACAAAGAATACTTAACGCAGACGTCTATATAACACAATTCTATCCTCACTGAATACACTAGGATTTCCTTATTCCAAGAGATTTCTTACTCAGCAAATACATAGTGTGGCTTATCCATATTCCATATTCAAACGTGGGTGAGTGCAGCGTTAGGTAAAAATTGGATGACAAGCCACTCTCCATGTATAAAGATTTCATCCATATATCCATTCAGAACCGAACAATATTGTTGTTATCCCCGCAAAAAAGTTATGCATGAATATCTCACTATTGAAGAGATTAAAGATTGTTTTGCCCGAAGCCTAAATAAACATTTACTTTTTTAACATTATTTTTTTCCCTTTTCAGGTTATCCACCTTGAGTACATATTGTTTAACCGCTTCTGTAATTCTTTATCATTGCGTTCAAAATAAGAACTTCCGTGAAAACACACTGAAATATTTCGGTCGGATACGGCACAAAAGGTTGATACGTCAACCTTTCGATAGTTTTATTAAATTGTATTTTTCTATAAACACAGAAGTGTACCAATTTAATTACTTCTAGAAATTAGCGCTAAGATAGGTATATCTAGCTAGACTCACCTATCCTATATCTACTAAATACTAATCATTTAAATATTAATTACTAGCCTTTTTCCGGGACTCAACACTTTACAGCTAAGTTGTCAATATGCTTAAAACGAAACAATAGCGACGCAATGAAAATTATGAATTTTGTTCAGAAAATTAATAATGCCTATTTCGGCCATATTATCAGCTTACTTCAAATGGTGTTGAGACAATCTAAAATGACAAGTTTTAAGCCTCCGCCTTCAGGTCCGCCACAGACTAACATCACGGAAATTACGAACGTTTAGTGATTTTACCTTTTGATAAAGATGATTAACCCTCGGAAATCTCGCCGGAAGTTATTCTCAACTTTCGGCGCTCCTTTGTGTTTATGAGGAAGCTTTATTGAGACTTGCTTCCGATAAAACAACTTGTTTATTTCGATATTCATGTTAAGCACAACAAGATTAAATGAAATCTCCTTTAATATATTAAAATTAAAGATAAAACATCCGATGCGCGATTGGTTTATATTTCCACTTTAAAAAGTGGATAATTTAAAAAAAAGAATAGTTAAAATTTTATACACGCTCGTCATTGTGCGGCACAACTTAAGCAAGATTTCCCTCGACTCCCGAGATTTATAATCTACCTGGTTTCATTTACTTTTCAGTGTTTTTCATGAAACGTGCAACTTTGATGTTCGCTTCTGCGGTAGGTAGCAGATAGGGATTTCTGTTAAATGCATTTTTATGTACAAGTCTGCATTTAGAAATTGTAATTTAAATAATTATTTACAAGACTCTATAAGGACTACAAGTAAAGCTAAATCAAAATCTTATAAAATATAATATACAACTGAAAAATAATTAGTATATTAGTTCAGAGCTGAAAGGTGGCTAACAAAAAGGCCGTAACATATATGTGTTGATTATTGTACATTACGTCAAAGTAGCACGACTCAGAATCTAAAGAAAGAAGAAATTAATCGTGTTAAGTTAAATAGCTACTTGGGTCACCAACAAAAACTTTACTTTATTTAACAAAATAATCCTACAAGTTTTACACACTGGTCTACACAAAGTCTCGCCCACAGTTCTCTATAAATCTACGCTCAATAAATTAAATGCGATACCCAATGCAGTGTGTTCGAGGTTCTCAACACTGAGGTACGTTAAAATATTTATGGTCGGACCCTTATCTAGAGTATTTTTAGATCCGCCTAATGTGAGGTATTTATTGGTGATCCTTTAATGTAATTGAAAATAAAAGGTTTCACGCCATTAAACATTTCCGATATAGGAGTGTATTTGGAGTAGATGACTAGGCTATGCTTGGGCACAAAAATCTTGATCACGAAAAATAAATTTTCGTAATACTAGTATTACGCACTGACATTTGTGTAATACTTTTTTATGATAGAGGGGAACAGACAAACATGTGGTTCAGTTGATGGTAGGTAAAATATAACATCTAATTTTACGAATAGCTTTGGACATTCGACATTTGGAAACGCGATTAAATTTGACGTCTTTTTCATCTGTCTATGATGGTTCTTAACCTAGATGGCATTTCGATATTTCTACCATCCAGATTTCTAAACGACATTCAACATGTTTCAGAAAGATTATAAACTGTTTATAAAAATGTTGGACTCGGTAGGGGTCGAACCCACGACCTGTTGCTTATTATATACATTACATATACATACATGAGAAAATGATGTTTTGTATTTTATTATGACAAGTAATGTACGAAATAGTCTTTCAAATAGTTCATACCTACATTATAAAATGTAGATAGTCACAGGTGACATACGTTTTTCTAACGCGTGAAAGCGCAAATCGGGTTCTATATATCGTAGGGACGGAAGGCCTGACTGGGATAATCCCATTGAAAGATTTGATTTTCCGCTAAATTAGATAAAAGTAATGAACGCTTCTCAAGAATTCTATACATTTGGGAAAATATTTTTTACACTTGTTCGACGAATTTACGAGTTGATAAAAAGTCTATAAAAGTGCGCCATTGAAAAAATAATGTAATAAACCTTTAATTTTATACCGGGAACATTATTCAACCTATTGTCTGGAACTAAGTTTTATAACATAAGCTAAAAGAGTAAATAGTACTCCACAGTATTAAATAAAATTCTACACAAAATGTACGGTAAAAAATATTAACTGCGTTGACTTATAAAAATGTTTATTGCTTAAATGTTTTTTATTAGTAAAAAAAGCACTTTTTTGCTTAATAAAACGGTTAAAAATTGTATAATTTTTTGCTAAAAATAATCGACTTCAAAGAATAAATCAAAATGAAAATAATACATTTTCTTGGCACAAAATAATACATATCTTGATTATACGAAATAGAAGTGATTTAATAAATATTTTTATGCTATTTATATTTACTTATAATATAACAGTCAATCATTTCTTTTTGTTACATTTTTTAACAAAATATTCGATACATAGATTCTTAGATAAAAGTTAATTATCTTATATAGTTCGAATTAAATTATCAAAGGTGTTCTATTTAATGTGAAACTGGTAAATAAAATAGGAATAACTTGGCGATTTATTTGCCCTGACGAACCTAGCAAACGTTCTTTGGCCGGATTAATGGATTTCGTGGACACTTTTTTCTAATTTAAAGGTGAATAATTTTGTATGTTTTGGGCACCTTGAACCGCAGCACACCCAACTGAAACCTTTAACAATGAATAGTTTTCCTTTTTCCAAATGTCCCTATTTTCTCGCTCTCCATGCTTTATAGCCTTAAGTCTCTATAATCGTTCTAACCAACACAAAAAGAATTCAATTCGAACCAGCGATCCCTGAGATTAGCGCGTTCAAACAAACTCTTTAGCCTTGTTATATCGGTATAAATAACGACAGAGACATAATTTATTTAAATAGAGATGTCGTTAACTTCATAATAGATTATTTAAGATCCGCGGTCAGTAATACAAGCTAAAACTCTTGTCTAAGGCATTCGGTCAAAGCGAATTCTAAATATTATTAATATCAAAGTTTAGTCGATATAGTGCGAGCTAAGTTCAAGCGGTGTCGCTCGATCTCACTCTAACCACCCTCGTCTCGACTCTCGACTAAGACTCTCATTGGAGCATACCTCTTATTCAATTTGAAGCGAATCAGTTCCGCCAACCCCATTATCTTTTCATGTCAGAATTTATATACTCACAAAAGTGTCTCGAGTTTTCGTTAGTAAAGCGTTACTTGCGCTATTTTTCGTTGCTGTCATATCGAATCAGAGGTACAATGGAACTGAAATTTATTTTTTCATAGCGACTAACAAGTTATAGAAATATCGTAGCGGGCTTTAAGAATACTGATCCGCTGCTTAGAAAAATGATTTTATTGATTTCAGTTGCTTGTTATAGTTCAAATTTAATTACTTTCTGATGATTTAGTTCAATATATGTTTAACTGTGTTTTTATCTCATAGACAATATGAATCTAACTACGCCCTAGTATAGAAATATCAATAAGTGATATCGTTTGTATATTTTTGTGTACAATTACTGAATTGATATGTACATTGATTTTATTTTGAAACGATTTATCGTCTGCTTAAAGCAACGCTGGTCACCGTTAAGCTACGGAGGCGATGGGAATAAACCGTTTTATTTTCTAAATAAAAAACTTTAACAGTTCAAAACGCGATATATACATTATTTTTAATTTTCAATTATTTTAACTACGGCCCGACGTTTCGGATGCTTTGCAGCAGCCGCGGTCATGGGGAGACCCTAGGCTGGAGTTAAAACAATTTTCAAACAAGTGTAACAATATTGTGTACTGAAATTGCGTTTTAAACGGTTTTATTTAAACGTACTACTCGCGTAAACTACTGACAGTATTCAGTTTTATTTTTTCATAAGACCCTAAAAGACGCCTAATCTTGATAATTTTTGCCCTAACTCGCAACTATTTAGAATGTCTAAGAGCAACTGGTGCCGTACCGATGTATAATAGGTGCAGTTGGCACAAGCTCCTCACAACCACTCCTGCCTCCGTCCACTCGCCTCTGCAAACGTTTGCCCAATAATTTCGTGTCGTCAGACGCTTCTGGAATAAATATCCACCCTCCCGTGAGGAATTTACGATACGCAGAAATCTTGAAGCATTTCTATATTGGACTAAAATCCATGTCTTACTGTTTTATTAAGGAAATTCTTAGAAGGCTCTCGTTTGTTTATTTAGGTACGTATAAAAATATTTGTGTATAATAATATCGTTCAGGACCGAACCCATATACTTATTTACAATTTTTCAATTCAGCTCTATTTTGAAAATATATATTTTTCACATGATCGCATTTTATAAAATAATAATCGTTTTTGATCGAAAAAAAACCATCCATGTCATATATTTTTTTCAACCTAATGCGATTTGTAAGTTTTATTTCTCTTTTATCGATGTCACTATCGTTGAAATAATGGGGTATTAAAAATATGTAATAAAAAAAAAATTATAAATGATTTTTCTTCAAACAAAAAAGTATATTATATTTTGTTCGAAGATAAAAACAGAAAAACGAACAATTCATGTTTTCTTTAAATGTAGTAGTATTTTCATTAGCGTACTATTTAGTTAAGTAAAAATTAGGTCATGGGTGGGATATCGTTAGGGAACCTGTGGATGCCGGTTCAAGTCTCGTGGTTTTTTTTCAATCCAAATAGATTAGTCGCTTTCGTAATATAAGATATTTATTTAATAATAAAAGCCTATACATCACTGATTAAAATAATTTGTCAGCTCCGTTGGCTTTTAGTATCAGATTAAATTGGTTTCGAGACGATACGACGATGATGGCACAGGCTTCCATTGTCTAACGCTCATGTTTATTTATCGAATCTCCCAAACGCTTTATATAGTATCTCAGTTATATTCTCTTAAGCAACAATCTTGAGGTTTCATGAATGCTGCAAATACTGACAAAAATTACTATCTACAAGATTTAAGTACGAAAATTAACTACTCACGTAGATAGTGATTCTTGTTTATTAGCACATTTAAGTATAGTTTATTGTATGTATTTCATCTCACTTGAAGTATGTACAATTCGTTGTTTTGATGGACTCAGTGGTCTATATGATTTAATAATGATTTCTCTTTAAATCTCAGTCTATCTTTTAAGATTAACTTGCAAGAACGACGGGACCCGAATGACGGGGCGCGAGCGACGGGACTCGACCGATGTCGTGGGCAGCTTAAATTTATAGAGACGTAGAGAGTTTGCACAAACAAATTTAGATGTCCAAAATAACTATTATATATTATAATAGGAATATTACATATAGGGAAGGGCTCATTGTCATAATTCAAACATTCATTGTATCTAACATACAGTAATTTTGAATGACATATCTGATATGATTAAGGAGGTATTCGATAATATTGTTGAGTGTGCCGAGACAGTTTTGAGTATTTCCGTGAAACCATTCTATGCTTAACAAAAGGTACCCATCGATATAACGGGCGTCATATTACAAGTGTCACTCTATGCGATTTGTATAGGCTTCCTGTACCTTCAACACTATCAGTAAACTTGGTAACGTTATTGTTGTAATGATTGACAGCATCCGCTATGATAGAAAATGATGTTACACTACATGGACCTCAGCCAAAGTTATAGTAAATGGCGATGAGGAAGTTCGTAGTTCGTACCCCATCGCTAAGCTTTTTTTGTTATTTATATAAAAATATATTAGATTCTGCTTTTTATTAAGCAATTTTAGATTTGAAGGCTCATGAAGGCACTATATAATTTAAAAATCGAAAATGAAATTGAAATTTTTTTGAAAAAAAAAAAGAGTAACAGCACGGAACGCTGACGATGCCGGTTCAAGTCCTGTCCGAGTCAAAATTTTTTTCAATTTATTTTCGATTTTTAAATAATAGATTTCTTTGACACATTGTTAGTCACCTACTTGTATACGTCACGTGGATATTTGAACTTATGGGAAAGATTAAGAAGTGTACATTTTTTATGATAGACAAGGACAAATAAGCAAGGGGTTCACTACATGGTGGGTGGAAACCCCCAGCCATATAACATCTAAACAAATTCTGCATGATTAAACGTCACGGCTTTTTCTGGTGGGGCGCGACCCGGTCGGAACTTCGTTATCCTACCACCCGTTTAATATCCAGATTTCCAGACGAGTCCAACATGTTTCGAATGAAATTTAAATTTATTAGAAACTTGTTGGGTTCGATGAGAATCGTACCCACGACCAGGTTGCCTATTAGCCATATATAGCTACTATTAAACCAACGAGCCTGTAATAATTACAATGCTTTATATATCATATCCTATTATATTTGCTTATTTGGCTTTGCTGTAACTAGTAAATATCAGTACCACACGCCAGAGACGATTAGACTTCACAATAATATATAATCTGCGATGAAGCTGTGGTTCATCGTGAAATAATTTCAACATTACAAATACAAAAGTTTTCTCATTGCACAAAACAAACAAGTTGGTAATTATTTGATGGATTCACTGTTGTTACATTTTAATTGAAACAACTGAAATATCAAGCTCGCTTGACCCGACATTGCGGACTTAATACAGCAAGTGATAGCCGTTACATTTAGTTTTAATTCAACATTCTAAAAAGGATTTAATTTACACGAGGTGACAATTGACTCATTAGCATGATAAATACTGTCTGTAGTTTACGAGGGTAGTAGACATTTTAAAAAAAACATTGTAACGGATTAACACATATTAGTTGAACTTATTTGAATTATTTTACCTAATTAAGTATTATATATCGCGCTTTTAAAAATTATCGTGATTTGACTATATGTATATTTCCTTTTATAAGTTATCTGTAGTCAATTATAGATTATAGATTCATTTTCAATATTTAAAAAGTCAAAGGTTATCATAGTTAATTATTATCAGTTGCTATTTGTAAATTGTTATTGACGTTTCGCCATTACGAATGGTCGTCAGGAATGTTAGGCGTTATCTAAAAGCCATGATTGGTCTTATGCAATATATGGTTAATAATCAACGGGTCATGTTCGATCTCCACCGGGTCCAACAGGTTAATATTCTGAAACATTACTTTGTCTGAAAATCGTGTATGAGGTGGGGATATCGATAATTCGATAAAAAAGCCGTGAAATATAATCGCGTTTCGGTTTCCGGCTGTGTATTTCCGAATTTCCAAAGACAAATTTGGTCGAGAGCGTATCTTATTGTATGGAGATGGTGTATCACTGGGGTATTTCGACTTCCATCAATTCAAGCTCATACTTGTCTGTCCTCTATTAAAAAAAAAATCGCTTGGTAGAAGAGTTCGAAAACTTAAGCAATCTTTCAAAATGGCCGCGAAGCTCTTAAACTATTAATAGTTATACATTATTATATTTTTATTAAACCGTCATATTATCTCTTTTTATATTTTTACTTATAAGTAATGCCATATCAACTCCAAAATATCAGATGTCAAAACTATTTTCATTGAAAATTGTCAGCGCAAAGTTAGTTTGTGAGCACCTGTTTCGTAACCGCATATGTGCTATTAAAATCGTGATAGCTCGTTAATGTTTTGCAGAAATCTATTATAATAAAGCCACGGGCAGGTTAATTTCAATTTTGCCTACATAATTAACGCCCGTCAATAGCGATTGGCTACGTGTACTTCGCCACCGGTCGTCGCGAACTTACCTGCCCACCGTTCAGCTGACTCTGTCAAACTATTGGAAATTAGTTTCGGAATTGTGATGAAAAGTTTAATTGGATCTTCGGAGCCAATATGTGCTTCTGTTGGCTCATGTGAAAATTCCGCGTGGGCGAAGTTCAACGTGTAACATTCAATTTCAACTGTTTAACAATGTCACAGAACCTTCAAGCAAAACAAGTGAGTCGAGATATTATAAATTACCTGATGCCACAAACGTTGTTTTATTGTTTATAATATTAATGTAATTATATTGATACAACTCGAAGAAATAATTGGTAATAATGCAACGAATATTTAGTAGTTTCTACCAAATTTCATTACCATTAAACAGTTGTTGTGTCTTAAATGATAAACAGTGTCGCCGAATTTTTTTTCGAAGTGGAATCAAACTCGCATACATTTATTTTGGTTTCTTGAACCACACAATGGGAACCCTCAAAAATAAATAAGTTTCTCCGTGTTCTCTACAATTTCCACTGTTGCTTTGCTCCTATTAGTTTCAGCATGATGTTATATACTCTAAAGTCTTCCTCTATAAATGGTCTATCCAACACAGAATTATATATTAAAAATCTGTTATTCTCAAGATTAGCGCGTTAAACAAATCTGGTTCATAATATTAGTTTAGATTATATTGTGGCCAAGAGTTACTCTCTAAATAATTAAGCCAACATAAGTGTCAGCAATAATATATCTATTAATAAAAAATTATAATGTAACTCAAATAATATATAAATACACTACTACATATCACAGACGAGACCTACATCGTTCAGTTTATAAGAGGTCGACGAATTTTCGCTCGATATTTTTAGCGAATGTCGCCGATCCGATATGAAATTAATATAAGGTATAAAGCTGCAAAGCAAAAATATTTTTATTAATATTTCTGTACATTTATATTGCTCGGAATGGCTATTGGGTTACCGCGGTATCTTTGTTTGGTACGCCATTCTTCTCCGCTGGCGTCTGCTCCCAGGAATCTTATTAATAGCTGTAATATTCGAGCACGCTAGCCTGTATGAACCGCAAGAATTGTTCTCCCATAGCGCCCGGCTCGGTTTCTCTTTCTGCCCGTTACTCAAGCTTGCCTTTTGTTGTTTATATTTTATTGTTGTATCCGAGTATGAATTTTTAAACTCCGGCATAAGACTACGGCGTCTTTATGCCAACCCTGCGACTGGCATATTCATGAAACTCTTTGAATTTGCGTAATGAAGCATAGTTACAAAAAAGTATCCAAGTAAATAATTTATAGAGAGTCAAACGAACTAAATAATATTCAATGGCTTTTATTGACTAGTGATTCGTCCGAGTCATTTGAACCTATTGACCTAGGGTCGGGTAGATAGACTACGAATTTACTTGGCTTAACTTTGCTAAACGAAAAAGCTTAATTTAGGTTTAAGGTGGTTAAACGAGTAAGAAGTGTTACTAAAAGTAATCGTCTGTGAAATCTTGAAGGGTTCTTTTAAATATTGTTATTAAATAAAAGAACTCAATACTAATTGAGATACGCCGTTGCCCAGAACGTAGAGGATTGTTGTCATGTATTTTTGCTATAAAAATTAACTTAGCTTTTTTATAAGTTATAGTTGACTAGAATGTGAATAATTAGATTCAAATTTCATCTCAATATGTACACCGAATTAAACAATTCACTTTCTCTATCTTTCTCAAGTGCTTGAGTTTGATTCCAGAATAATTAAACGGTTTAGTCCGACTCAAGTCAACGCTGGAGGCTTTTCTAAAGATTCCGACGTTTCGATTGACTCTCCAAACTAAACCTTAAAGTTTACTATTGTGTAGGCGGTATCTTATTTGTCCTGTAGGTATAGGTAGACAAGTTTGGATTAAACAAGCTGCCAAATTCAAAAGCTATAGAAACGATCATTTCGCCGAGAGGGTATTCGTTTAGTGATCCCTGGAGAGGCCTGCTAACGATAACTATGTCTACCAATTTGCATCATTAATCCGGTTAAGTTATGGATTAAATTGTTAATCAAAGTAAACTTTGTGTTAGAAGTAAAACCGGAGTTATCATGGATAATTGAGATTAAATTTTAAAACTGCTTTCGGCCTTTAACAAACTTCAACAAAGCTTAGCTTTATTAAAATACTAAATAATCTTCTTTGGATGTGCCCGTCTTACTTTAAAGTTATAAAAACAAAATACGTATAGAAGACTATCAATAAAGTATAAAGGAAGCTTATTGTTGCGCCGGTCTGCATTCACTTAGTGAATTTATGTGTTTGTTCAAAACTTTCAATTTTACGTGTACTTAATTGTAGGAACGTCTTGAGGGTTTTATAGGCACTTAGAACTCGTGCAGACGACAGCCTCTGTAGCTTAATGGTCCAACGCATTCAGCGCGAAAGGACTTGGCTTCGAATTTCGAGTAAACATAAGAGCATCACGCAAATAAAATATATTTAAATAAAACAATGGTTTAAAACGCGACATATATTAGTTCACTTAAGTTTATTAAAAAACAGCCAGAACTGTAAGATCCTTTGCAGCAGTGATCACGAGGTGACACAAGTTAGCTTACATATTTAACGTTTCAAACCGTTAATAAGTGTTTTATTTTGATATTTTAAAGTTTAGAAGTAAAACTTTTGCCGAAATCATGTAAAATATATAACAAGAAACCTCATTACACAGTACTAACACTTACAATAACCTCCTATATGTTTTCTATTACTTTTATTCTATAGACATCTGTCTAGTTTCCGTATCCGTACCCTTCTCCGACCCTCGTCGAATATTCAGCAGTCGGGACTATTAGGTACCGTTCAATAGTTGTCAAGGATTTTTCTCCCAATATTAACTGATAACAATCTTATACACACCTTCAAAAGTTACCTCACCTGTAGAATTAAATATTTCATATATATTAATTCAAATTAAGAACAAAGTAAACACACTCGCGATATTCCATTTTCAAATTCTTATTTCCGGTTAACGGTAGTTTAAAATAAAATGTAAACTACCCGTTTTTGAACTCATTTTTGTCGACCTCGTTGTTAGTAACAGGTTTTGATAATAAAGACTAATACTAGTTCAATATGTAAATCATGCTTAAAATAGTATAGACATCAAATATCGATAATCCGTCCGGTACAATGTTATAAGAAGAATTATATAATTTTTCCTTGACCTTATTTTTTAGCATAGCAGCTATATGGCTAAATATTAAAAAAATAAAAATAAATAATCAACGTGTCGGGGGTTCGATCACAACCAGGTCCAACATGTTTTTAATCATGTTATAATTTTTCTGAAACATGAATAGTAGCACCTTCAAAATTTCTATCGGATTTCCGAATATCCAATGGTATTTTGCCTCGGTCGACAGCACATTTTATTTCAATGTTATATGGCTGGACTCATAAAAAATCTATTGATAATAGATACTTCCGTTGTTTTAAATAATGTTACACAAGTATTTAAAACAACGAAAGAAAAATATTTTCCCCGCTGTAAAAGTTCACAGTCGCTACTGGCCGTTGCCTCTGTGTTGTGTTACAAAGGTAAATTGAATCTTTTATGATTGCAGCTTTCCATAGCACAAATAATGGATATACGAAAGAACTGTTGTCTAAAAAACTTGAAAAAAATTGTAAAATACTTTTCTATCACAATTTTTCCGCACTGCGGTGCTCAATTACAGGGTAAAATGTTTTCAATTGGGAATAAGGACGGTATAAATATTGATTTGAAATGTAATTTCTTTCTTTCATATTATTTTCTACTTAGCCAACTTTTTAATTGCTATTTATTATGCTTTTGGAAAGAAGGTATATATTATATATAAAAATAAAATTTATAATAACTTCTAAAATCTAGGAGGAAAAGATAAATTACGTTACTTTTGTTTTCTTTTAGATAAATATTATAATTGTTGTTATATTTTTTTTTTATATATACGATGTCATAAAAATGTATCAAAATCAATTAACATTATTCAATTATTATTATAATATACTTTAAAAGTCCAAAACACTATCTATACTAGTTGATAAATTGACACAATATGGCTCACATTTTAACGTAAAAAGGATTTTATTTTATGCGTACTACTCACTTAAACAACATTACATAATATTTTAATATTCAGTTATCACTTTTTGGATACTGTTTATTGTTCTTTTTATTGTATTAATTTGAAAGTGACTTTCTTAGATATGTAATGCATTTTTTGTAAGTAATTGATAAAAAAATGTTAACCTTGCGTTAGAATAATGTTCCAAAATTCCGTAAGACGAAGTGAGCGTAGTACTTTGATACTGATAATTGAAGAAGTTCAAGTAAAAGTAATAACTAACAAATCCAAACGTTTTCACATCTGCTTGCAATACCAGAGTGCGGCGAGGGATTTTTTCATTTGTAAAATTTATCTCGTTTAATATTCAATTAAAAAACAATACAGGCAAAAGAACACAAATTATATATGGTAGAGGGAACGTGTACCGACTTCGTACGCAACCGTAGCCGCGGGCTTTCGCTCCAAATTACACGTTCTAGATACCGACTCTTTGTCCCAATTCCACTTTTTATGCCCAACAAATAAATTTCGGTATCTCCCCACTTAACATCGAAAATGTATCATTTAATAAGAAATTTTTGCAGTGTATTCCGAAAAACATATTATCATTAGTTATTTAATAATTATATATTCATATAATTATATATTTACGATCTGTTTGGCTCAATGTACGCCTAGCGTATTCCGCTAGTCTAGCATTGGCCTGACAAAAATCAGAAGTCGGAACTCTTTATCTGTAACTATTATGGTTTAGTAAAACTGTAACAAAAATGTGTCTGTACCTTATGTGCTGTTAAATGGGAGATGTGGGTTTATACTTATCCTCATCTCATGGTTAGGCTGCGGAAGGTGACTCTTACTTACTTTCTTTCAACCATGATTTAAAAAGTATTCAAGTATTTTTCAGAAAATGCGAAGTATACCTTGCGAAGTGTACTGTAGCTCGCTATATCTTAAATAAAGCATTTCAACGTTAAAAGTAGATCGTGAGTCTTAAATAATTAAATCCGTATCTCGTTTTTATAATGATGATACTCGACAAGAGAAGTAGATTTTAAATGACTTAATTAAAATAAAAGTAAAAACAATGATATCAAAGGAAGGGAGGGAATAAGAAATTCACTACAGTCGCTGACGTAGATCCTACAAAGGGAATAAATAGCGTTGTTTACAGATTATAATTTTCATTTCTCTACGGCGTCACAATGTTTAAAAAAGAAACTCTTTGGTCAGGCAAACTGAATAATTTACACCAGCGTGCAACCTCAACAGTCAACACTAAATATTAATGCTAGTTAACGCGTTAAATAGATTTTTTAATTAAATTTCTGTGAACGTTGCTACAATTAAGCTTCCTTCATGTTATAAAAAGTAATGTTAATAAGATCCAGGCCTGGGGTTTAACGTCGGCTGTAAATCAAGCAGCTTTTCATTTCGACTGAGGTGTGTGTTCATTTCTTTCCCGGACCCAAATGTCACGAGGAGAATTAAGCATGTCTATGGGCAATTATCCCTAACTTCATTAGAGAATAAAAAGATTTTACCTTACATCGGCAATCAACATTAGTAATGTTTGGTAATTAAATGGAAAAAAACGTAATAATTAATTTCCAGTATCAGATATAGACCTCACATCTATTCTATTAATAATCTTAATAACCTACATTATAAATTGTGTACACTTTACCTAAATAAAAAAAATTAAAAACTTTTAAATAAAACTTTAGCCTGGAGTTAAAAATATTTTCAAATATGTTTATCTAGTATATATTGCGTTTTCAACAGTTAAAGTGTTTTATTTCAACGTATACTAGTCGCGTAAACTACTACATCTTGCTGTAGTTTTTATCGTTCTATAATAATATTGTAAGTTGCAATAAATATATGATGATGAATAATTTCTTCGTAGAATATGTGACGGTCGTGTAACCACTGACTCTCTGGACCGAGCTGTACCTAATCGGATTTCTCCACTCTGAAATATGAAACCACGACACCAGGGAAATATCCAAAGCTTCTGTACCTTAGTCTTTCATCAAATCGTATTTGAAGTATTCGAATAGCTTAAGGTTTTGGGGGACATGAAAATGATAGTGTGC